TATGTTATTGATCCTTAACAATCAACATGAGTATATGCTTTGACATAAGTTTGATAACATTGCTTGTTAGATGATTTTTCAGAATATTATCATGAAATAATTGTGTGCATGTAGTAAATGTCATCATAGTAAATAAATTCTATAATATGAATTTAAATTAAATAGGATTACATGTATTTGCATTTTAAAATGGAAACACATGGAATCATACATGATGAATGAGAAGGAGAAGAAGAATCAAAGTTGCATAATACTAAATGAGAAGAAGAACTAAAGTTGTATTGTGAATGGTCAAATATATACATTCGACTTAAAGCTCATCCAATTACTTGGTTTAAAAGTTTTGTGTCAAAATACCATGAAATTCTTATATAAGGAAAAGAAAAAAGGCTACATAAGTGTTAATAGATAGTGTGTAGATTAATTATTTTGTTAACTTTAGTTGTTTTGGCCTGAAAAACATTTTAATTTATATTTTATGTTATGCTTTTAAACTTTATAATGTAAGTTATGTGGCCGTTAATGATGTGATATTGAATTACTCTTTATAACATAGTCACAATATTATATGTTCTCGGTTGTATTGTTCGCCTAAGCATGTAAGTTCATTTGGGTAAGCATAACTACTATGTATGAAAGGTGTAAAAATATTGTCATGTTCAGCTAATCATATAAAGTCAAATGGTTAACCATATGTCATAGGGTATGAGAAAAAAACCAAGTTGTTCTTTGGCATGTTTCATAACAGACATAATATTCATATTGAAAGTAATGGAGGACAATGTGATCAGATGAATAATACCAGAACCTCACATTCAATTAACCATGTAAAATGAATGAGGTAATCTTATATGCAAGGTATGAAGAAAAAAGACCAATTTCTTCTTTCACATGTTTCCTAATAGTCATATTATACAAAAAAAAAATCATATTAACAAGTATGGAGCACAATGTGATAATAAGATAAGAGCATAACAAAAAAAACATGCCATGTACAATTATGCATTTAAAGTGTCATGATAAACTGAATAGATAAAAAAAATGTCATTATCAGATGAAAAATAAATACCAATTTGTTCTTTGAGATGTCGTAATAGACATACTACACAAGTTATTTTTTAAACTAAAAGGTATGAAACCCAATGTAATGATAAACTCATCAGATATATGAAACAAAATGTCATTGTCAAATAATCATGTAAAGTGAAAGGGATAATCATATAAACTTAGCATATAAATAAAATAAAATGTCTTATTCAGTTAACCATATAAATTTCAGGGAATAACCACAGATGGTAAACCCAACAAATAAATAAAACAAAATGTCATTAATAATTAACCATATAAAGTTAAGGAGCTAACCATATATGTTAAGAATGAATAAATGTAGCATATAAATAAAACAAAATGTCTTATTTAGTTAACTAGGGGTTAAACACATATGGGACAAATATTATTGACAGTTATCCACACAAAGTCAAGGAGATAACCATATATGGTAGGAATGAATAAATGTAGCATATATAAATAAATAAAAATTCCCTGTTTAGTTAACCAGATAAAGTTCAGGGATAACCACATATCAATAATTTTTGCTTGAGTAAGAATAGTCTTGCTTAAGTGAAACGTAACCTAAGAGCATGTGTCTCATTCCACATATTCTTGTTTGAGCGAAATTTTTCATCGCTCAAACAACATTTCCTTCCCTTGAGGAGTAAACCCTCACACGAATGAAATTGAACCTGAAAGTCACCAAAGTTACAACTTTTCTTGCTCAAGTGAGACATGTCTTGCTTGAGTGAAAATTGTCCATATTGGTTCCTCTTTCGCAACTGTTCTCGCTTGAACGAGAGTTACCGTACAATGTTGCCTTGTTTCATTAACAAGTAAACTTTTTTGCTCTTCTAATTTTCTCCCCCCCTGATTGATTGTTTCTTTCCAATCTCTACTTAATGGTTGTGTACGTTAGGTAATATCAATTATGGTTCATTAAGGTGCTTTTAGTTGCAGAACAAAAGAAACAACTATGTTAAGTGACAAAATTATTCTAAATTGAAAAAATTCCTAGTAGTAATTAAGGCAAAAATATTGTTAAGTGTTCATAAAAAACTCAAATTTTTAGTAAATTTTGTCACTTAACATAATTGTTTCCTTTGTTCTGCAACTGAAAGCATCTTAATGAACCAAAATTAATATTACCTAACATACACAACCATTAAAACTTAAATGGTTAGTATACATTGGGAGTTTTGTGAGGAACTTGGTTACTATTATGTCACATTTTTTTATTTGTAAAATAACTATTATTAATAATTAAAATATTTTCAAATTAATTTATTACCAACTAAGTTCATGATAGTCTTTTTAAAGAAAATGAATGAGGTTGACCAAAAATCCCTACATAAATATGAGTATTGAAATACATGATGACTACTTTGTACTTAAATGGTTAGCTTCCTATTACATTTGGTCAAGTGTTTAAAATGTGCAAAGATTAATATCATTTCTTCCCACCATGTCATAATGTGAGTGTTATGCATGCCATAGTAATAATTGTTTCCTTTGTTATGCAATTGAAAGCATTTTAATGAATAATAATAATTAATATGATATAAGATAGATAACCTTAAACATTAATTGGTTAGTTGTTCACATTTACATTAAGTAAGGAATTTCGTCACAATGGCACCACTTTTTTTTATTTGTAAAACAACTTTTATTAATAATTATAACATTTTGACAAATGATTAATATTTTATCAAATAAGTCCATGATAATCATTTTAAACAATAACTATTGAGCTTTACAAAATTGCATACATAATTATGATTTCAATACTACATGGTTTTTAGTTTCTACTTACACGGTTATCTTACTTATAGATTTGATGAAGTGTGAATATTATACAATCATTATTATTTCTTACTAACATATTATAATATGTGTCTTATGCATGCCATAGTAATGGATGTTGTGTTTGTTTTGTCATTCAAAGCATTTCAATCAATAATACTTAGTTTGACCTCGTATACATAACCATTAAAACATAAATTATTACTCGTTCATATTTAAATTGGGAGTTTAGTTCAAACATCTAACATAATTTGTGTGTTGTGCATGTCATAGTAATGGTTGTAATCATGCCAAACATAATTTGTGTATTATCCAAATATAATCATGCCTAAGATACAATCAATAATGTAATTGTGAACACAATTAATTAAATGTAATCATGTCAATGGTAAACAAAATTATATATGTATAATTTCACTAAATTGTCCAATTTTCATATCTTAGTGTTATAGTAGTTAGTATTGAACTAATAAAAAAACAAATTAATTATTATATTACATATGAATAAATTGTGCAAAATTGAACATCAAAGATCAAGAACTCATCAAATAGAATATTAAGATTTATATTCCTAAACAGGGATGTTAACTCCTATATCAAGAACAACCACTTTTTGATGAAGATTTTGAGGAAGAAGTATCCATCTGCATACATATTCTTCTTGAATTTTTTACGTTCTTCCTGTGCAAGGTAAGGAATATCAAAATGAGTTATACTGATACTATTAAAAAAAATTGAACAACATTAATAATATCAATTTAATGTTTACCGATGTGTAATCATACATACTTTTCTTGTTCACTTTACTCATACCATTCCACATCCATATATTTTAAAACAAAAAATCCACAATCATAATTGTATAAATGAGTGTAGTTATTACACACATTACATACAATAACATCTTACAACATATGTTGCTTGTGTAAGAAGATACTAGTTTGATTGAATTGACAATTCCTCCTTTATAACCTTAAGTTGTCCAATGTTATTGGATGGCTTTGTTTCTAACCATTATGTATTTACATAGTAAGATTGTTGACTTTTCTAATATCTATTCTAAAAGTTTGATGGTAATTTCTATTTAATTGACGATCTAAAAATCTTCACATTTACACTATAAAATTTAAACCTTTATCATATTTTCATGTTGCTTATCTTAAAGGTCCAACTCAATTAACTTCAGATATCTTCCAGGTTGTAGCAAATCCTGTTAGATTCACTCAAATCTCTTTCAATGACATGTACTTTTCGCCCATCTTGAAACAAAAAAGCACAAAACAAGATCATTTGATTAATCTCAAAACAAAAATATGCTTCGTTCAAGTAAAATTTAAAAGGGTCTCTAGAACTTATTTTATACCATATTTTTCAAGAATGCAATTATTGTAGTACTATCCCGTAAATAAATCATATGAACCATTTAACACAAAGTAAATATGGTCAAACAATCATATTTGTTGGAAGCCCCACATCACTTGCCTCACGTCATTTGATATGATTTAAATACAAATTAGGCAAGTTCACATATTACCAATTGATTTTATGTTGGAACCTTAACATGATATCAGAACCAAAATCTAATATATTTCTAATAATTGTCTTGGTCAAGAGTTATCCTTTCGTTGAACTAATAAAAAGTAATTAATTTTATGTTGGAATCTTAACAACATTAATATTTCTACATCCAAATATATACCCTTTTTATATAAAATTTATATTTTTTTCTAATTGTTGAGAAAATGGAGAATAACCATATTTTCTACATTTCTAGCTAGACCTAGTTTCATTTAAAATTCATTCTAATTTTCTTACACCACCTTAGATCTTTTTTTATACATTAGTTTTAGTTTTTATCTTCTAAACAAATATTAATGGTGTCTATATCTAAGATAAATATTTTATATCTCATTAGAGAAGATTTTATAATTTGTTTAATAATTATTAAAACTATTTTGTAATCTTTATCTAAAATATTTTATTCAAACTATTTTATAGTCTTTACCTTAAAAAAGATTTTGGAGGACCTTCTATCTATAACACAAGACAAACCATTCCACTGATGAAACTTATTGAGTCAAATAAGTGGAGAAATAGAACCCTGAAGTACCTTTCCAAGTGTGCAAGCTAAGTAACACCAGCAATCAATGGAGCACGGTGCTCGAGACAGACCACATGCTGCCGGTTCTCACCATGCTGCCAAAGACAAATCCCACCGTTTCGGATATAAAAAGGACTTCACAAATCCAGCGACTATGAGTGCACGCTCTTGCTTCCTCAGTCTGCCGGTTCTCACCATGGGGCTGGAGACGACACCACGTTGCCCGAGACAAACCCCATTGTTCGGATATAGAGACAGTGGAAAGGTTTCACAAATATAGTGACTGAGAATCCACACTCTTGCTTCCTCACTCTGACTGGTCTCACCACAGTATCGGAGACTACCACACTGCCAGAGACGGACATGCTGCCGGAGACAAACAAGACCAACACTGAAACGGATCAAAAATTTCGAGCGGGAGAATGATTCTTTCGTCTCCCTCATTAAACATATATTTACAAATTGATCCCTCAATATTTTAATAATATTACGTGTTTCACTCTTAATCAATTGAAATTTTGACCATATATTGTTTTTGGGTGTGAAGTTTTCTTTCTTTTAATATTAAGATATTCTCCAACACATCACCATTTGTCTACATTACTACGTGTCCAACAGCTGCCGCGACACTTCAGCTTGGTCCCATAGGGTGACACCTCACGCACTCAAGTATATCACGCTCGCATCACCCGTAGAAGCCACCGACGAAGAAAGTGAAAGCCGCAAAATGGCGCCAAAGAAGAAACCAGAGTCCGATCCTCACGGCATGTTCTCTGGCATGGTTGTGTTTTTGATTCCCAAAGGAGTCCAAGCCCGTCGATTCCAGGTACTATGAAAGTTTCACCCGCAAACGATGAATATCATTGTAAATTTTTCATTTATCAAAACCCACGTTTTTATTCCCATTTGAAGTTTCAAAGTTTACTTCTTTGTCAAGTTTGTTCACTTTTCCCAGTGTGTCAGATTTGGAAGGAGAGGTTGGTGCGAATGGGGGCGGTGATAGAGGAGCGCCTCTCCAAACGGGTGACTCACGTTTTTGCTATGAACTCGGATGTCCTTCTTCAACAACTGGATAGGGACCGTTTGTCACGTTTTAAAGGGGTTAGTTTTTTCAACATTATGTGATTAATGAGTGCTTGAGTTTGATTATGACTCCTTGTAGATGTAGGAATAATAATAGTACCCATAAAACACCCATATTGGCCTTTCATTCTTTAGAAATATTCTTTGGTGTTTCACTAGGCTTTATTGAAGAACTTGTGTACCTTTAGAAGGATAATGTGTTTACTGTTATAAGGTCAATGTGGTCTCGGGTTGTATGCATCTTTCAAGGGTCAAAGTGGATATCTACTAATGGTGTTTGAAGGGTCTTAATCATGTTTTGAACTGCTTTTTTTTTTTTTTTTTTAAGAATTGTTATGTTGTAGTATTGTACTTTGACTCATATGGACTGTAATTGGTACTTTGTTTGTTTGTATAGCAATTGCCTTTGAAATGCACAATGTGCGTTTCTATTTTTGTGTTTGGAATGTGCTTTTACATGCCTTTTGTTTAGTTAGCTATTTAATTGTTTTTCGGTCAATGATGTAATGGTGATTTGTGCAGAGAGTTCTCCTTTATCAATGGTTAGAGGACTGCTTGAAATCAGGGGAGATACATTCCGAAGATATGTATGTACTGAACTTGGATCCTCAAGGCGAACCTGAAAAGTCTTTGGATCCTCAACCGGGTCAAAGCACTTCTAGCGATCCTCAGCAATTGCATAATAAAAAGACCAAATTATCTCCTGAGGATACGAAAATTGTAAATCATGAAAGCAACGATCAGGGAAGAGAAAATGCTGTATTTTCATCAACAAGTACAACAAGCAGTCATGGGGAAGATGATAGTTTAAGTTATGGAAGTAGAAGACCCCAACACCTTGATGCTGAGGGTGAGGAGGTAAGTGCTAAGATCTATATGTCAACAGTTGAACATTATTTGGTTACAATATTTTTACCCCAAAACAAGCACTTTCCTCAGCCACCTCTATTAAGAATAAGATTCTCTGTCTAGTGTTCATAAATACATTTGCTTGAGCACGCCCACACACACTCAAGTTTATTATTTTTTGTTTAAAGTTGAAGCTCCACTAACCTGGGTACACTTTGCAGTCATCCATATCGTACTGTCCACCTGATCAAAACAAAAACATAACTGAGATATTTGGGAAACTTGTGAATATATATAGAGGTAAGGTTTTTATAATTTCTAGTCTCCTACATATTCCTATCTTTTTATGTCTTCTGTTACTCAAGTGCACTTATTTATTGCGGTAATGCTGTTTGAAAGCATTGGGTGATGATCGGAGGTCCTTTAGCTATTACAAGGCTATTGCAGTGATTGAGAAGTTGTCATTTAAAATTGAAAGTGCTGACCAGATAAACAACCTACCATCTATTGGAAAATCAATGAAAGATCATGTAAGGGAACTATGTCGCTAGACATTCTGTCTTGAACTTTGTCACTTTGAATATGTATGTTTAATTTCTGAATCATAGTTTCTAATAGATTTATTGCTCTTCTGCCCTATTAGATTTTTCTCAACTAAAATTTCAGTTGTCTTCTATGATATCCTCCTACTTATTTTTTATTACTAGTAACAAACGTTTATCGTTGTCTAGTTGTACAGAAGATCCATCTAAGACGACAATTGAGTTTGTGTTTTAGCTTTTTAATATCTATGAGATATGATTCTTTTAGAATGATTGTTATTGGGCCATCAAATTATTATTGTTGTTATTATTATTATTATTATCATAATATAGTTGTTTGGTTCAAATATTAGTTTTGTTCTTATTTGCATTCTCCTTTGTCTTCTGAATTTTTGTTTTATTCATTTTTAAAGATAATGAATCTACATTAATAGCAGAGTGATTAAGTTGGACCTCGATAATACATTTCTACCTCTTCTTTTGTAATGGTTTAGTGCTTACGTTTACATTTGTTCAGATAACTAGACAAGCTATTGTTTTTATTATATGCAGATTCAGGAGATCATAACTACTGGGAAGTTATCCAAATTGGAACACTTTGAAACAGATGAGAAGGTATTATAACTGTTAACCCTGATTAGTCAGAGATCTATAAATTTCTTTATTAATAATGTGCTTTTTTAGCTCTAATGGTTCATATTTTATCGTTATCCATGATCCTTGTGTGACCACATTTTTTAATTATTTTGCATTATATTAGATTATATGGACACTGACACTAGTACTCATGTTACACAGTGCTTGATAAGTTATTGTCTTGGGGTTGGAGCCTGTAATTATGTTTTATTTTAATTTCTTGAAATTTGCTAAGACTGGTTTAGTGTGCCCTCTATTATGTGCATGAACAGTGAATGGTTGGTCTACTACTCTATCCTTTATTGCTTTGTTGACCTTATGTGGCAATCTTACTTCCTTCACTCCATCCCCCGCTCCCTATTTAACTATAGGTGCGGACAATATCATTATTTGGAGAAGTATGGGGCATAGGTCCATCCACAGCAATGAAATTGTATGAGAAGGGGCATCGTTCATTGGATGATCTTAGGACTGATGGTTCACTTACTAATGCACAAAAGTTAGGGTTGAGATACTTTGATGATATCAGGCAACGGATTCCACGCCATGAGGTCTGTAAGACTGGTATAAAAGACATAATATTCCTCTTCACCCCTCTCCCAATATTCACTTTTTTAAAACCCTGAAACCCTTTTCGATTTTATAGGTTCAAGATATGGATAGCATTTTACAGAAAGCTGGGGAGGATGTTTTGCCTGGGGTGAGTGAGCACTGCAAATTTTGGTTGGACTTGGATTAAAATGGGTTTTCTATCTTGTCATAAATTTTTCATAAGAATCTGTCACATGAATTTCCTGTCTCTGTTTATCTGCTTTTTGTAATTCAAAATAAGTATTTTTGACGTCACCAAAGTGAAGCATCCATTACTTATTCAATATGAGTATATGCCAAAAAAAAACAAGAATGAATTGATATTATTGAACAAGGAAACGGTGATAATAAAGTATCCCAAGAGCTATTTCACTCTGCACAGAGTATTAAGCCTCCTAAAAACCAAGAATGAATAATTCCCCTTTTTAATTTGTTACAGTATTGTTTATATATCCCTCCAATACCCATACTAACTAACCAGTGGTAACTAAAATTCCATTTGTCTAAGCTTCTTTCCCTCTTTTCCTATAGTACACATGCCAAGTCCTTGGCTCAAGTTTCTCATTTAACACCTGGACCTCCGTATCAGTCTAACAGACTTCTAATATTAACTGCTTGCAAGTCATCAATGGAGCTTTCCAAACCTAAGAAAATCTCAGTTCCTATGAGTTATTTGTGCAGAATTTGTGTGGTGGTTGGTACATCTTTAGTCTTTCACTTCTCTTTTTAAGAAGGAAGAAATGTAGTCTAGGAGTGTTAGTAATGGATTAAATTACTTGCATTTATTTCAGTTCTGTTATTAATAGTGAACTAAGATATTTCTATTTATTTAGGATCTATTATTTTGGATAGAGTTGGTTACATTGGGATATTATAAATATCCCCAAGTAAGCTTAGGGATTGGTAATTCTATAATTTAGAGTCAGTCCACGTATGCTCTGGTTGGGAATAATATTTGTTCAGATTCTCCATTAGTTATTTCCAGTTTTCTCTCTCTCTCTCTCTCTCTCTCTCTCTCTCTCTCTCTCTCTCTCTCTCTCTCTTTACTCTCTATGCTTTGTTTGGTTGGGGAGTGGAAAAGGAAAGAAATGAAGAAAAAGAGGATAGAAATGAGTGAAAAGTGAGATTGTTTGGATTAGGTAAAAGAAAGTGAGAAGTCATATAAATTTTATTTTTTATTAATAATTTGAGTTGTTATTATTTATTATCAGTAATTTTTTATTTATTATTAATTTTATTATTTTTTAATAACTCAGAGGCTTAGTTACTGCCCAATATTTGTTGTTCTTGGTACCTAATAATTTGGCAAATGGCTTCAACTTCTGGTTGGTTTTGGTGCCAAAGTTACGGATGATGTTGAAAGTTTGGAGATGATACAAGCTTATTTAGAAATCTTAGATTGTTGTCACCAATATGATATACTTATTGTATGAGATTCCACATCAGTTGATGATATAGCTAAATAAAATATATAACCCCACTTATAAACTTTATTTATCCATCAATGTCTTATATTACAAGCTAATTTTGTAAATGAGTTACCCACATTCTAAGACTTATATTTGGCAAACTGCTGCAATTACTTCATATAACTCTTTGGGTTCCCCTGTTCCTCAAAACTGGCTGCCCCCCACCCCCCAATTTCAATTAGTGTTTTCACTTATTGTTTGCAAATTGTTGATATTAATCACATAACCAGAGCATATAATATTTTGGTGCTCCCACCACTTCAAGTAACATGTTTTTGAAAACTTGGTCATGATGCTGTTTTGTCATTTAGGTTGTTATCATTTGTGGGGGATCATATCGACGTGGGAAAGCTACCTGTGGGGACATTGATATCATTATAACTCATCCTGATGGACAAAGGTATGGCTTGATTTCTTATAGCACCTTTATTTGTTGCAGAAAAATTGCATTTACATATGGAAGTTTTCCTAAATGATATAATGTTTATAGTAGAGTGGAAAAGCCTTGGGGTACATGAAGATTCAAATAATTGAGGGGTTTTCATTAGCTGTAATTGCTGCTGCTATTGGCTTTTGGACACTATGGTGGTGCTACCATGATATAGGTTTCGGAAACCCAGTTTTCACTCCAATTTTATTTCATTTTTTACCTCCGGTGCATAATAGGATTTGGAATCCATATTCTTTGACCATTCAAAAGTTACCATTGTTTTGACCTTGTTCCTGCACACTTTACACGTTGGAGGACTTATTTATTAATGTTGTTTCTTCCTCTAGAGGCCTCTACCACATTCTGCTAAATATTTTCGAATTTGCTATGTTGTATCTTGTAAAAGTGTTTATTCCATCCATATTCAGAAATGTGTGATTCAAATGGCCTAAATAGCCTTTAGGGTACAACAAATCAGGATCTTAATTAAGGATAGTAAATATTCTACTTTACAAAAAACAAATAAATAATAAACTGTCATGTACAATCAGGGATGTTTCTCCCTTAATTTTGGCTACAAAAAATTAGAATATTTGTTCCACTAATTTAGGAAACAACCAAATATTGGTGTTTCTATTCTTGGCTTGATATCCAACACTCCTCCTCGTGTTGGGCCATAGATGTTAATCATACCCCACTTGCACCTTAAGTTTTCATATTGAGCTTTTGACAGTGCCTTGGTCAGGATGTCTATAGTTTGGGATCTTGAAGCTGTGTTCCAACTTCACTATTCCACTATCAACCTTTTCCTTGATGAAGTGACGATCAATTTTTACATATTTGGTTTTATCATGATGAATGAAATTGTTAATAATGCTTATGCAGCCTTATTGTTGCATAACAATCTCATAGGAAGCTAATAAGAGACCTTGAGTTCTTGCAACATCTGCTATAACCATATTCTTTCACAAATTCCTGTGACAAAGTTCACGCTGCAATCTTCCATTAAAGTTGCTGGATAGCTTCATAAAAGTTCTAGGATATTTTGATACTTTCCAGAGTTGTAACAAAGGCCATATAATCCTGTGGCAATTTCTTAAAAGACACAATTTCCAATTGGGTGGTGAGTGCAAATCCTCACCCTATTCCTTAGACCAATGGGCATGCCCATGTCAGAATGGTCATTAACTAATAGGAAGAATCATAATTCTTGTTATCTGTCAGCAATTCTAGTTCTAAGTTTGGGTTAGGATCTTGGTTTTGTCTTGAAAATGTGCATTTCTCTACCTCTAATTGAGGTTTCTTTCGATTTCTTCTAGAATAAGTTTGTAGCTCATTATTTCTTTGCCAAAAATTTTATTTTCAAGTCTAGTAGTAGTAGGAATAAAATCTCGTGCTACACTTGCTTCATCTTTTGTCTCCTTTGACTTCTCTTGGTTGGACAGAAATTTATGCAGTAGGTATAGTAATTTCTATAGAATTTTGAGTAGTGGGCAAGGATCAAAAACCACCAGATTGGTAATTTGTTCCCAAGGTTCGTGTTTGTTGAATATAGTGAAAAACTAGGTATATGATTAATTCCCTTCTGTCTAAAATATACATAGGGCAATATATTTATAATTAAGAGTCATACAAGTAAATATGCTAAATACTTATATTGTGATTAATAATATCGAAAATATCTAACACTCTCCCTCTGATGCCATATAAATCATATGTACCAAGCTTGTTACAAATATAATCAATTCTAGGTCCTCGTAAAGACTTGGTAAAAATATATACTAGTTGTTCACTTGAGTTAACAAACTCGGTCTTAGTGTATCCAGATACAATCTTTTTCCCAATAAAATGACAATCAATGTCTTTTCATGAAAGACAAAATTAAAGTTAATATGAAGAACAACCTGATTGTCACATATAAGTGTCATTTGACTGATATTTTCAAATTGTAATTCTTTAAGTAATTGTTTAAGCCAAACAAGTTCACAAGTGACTGAGGTCATAACTCTCTATTTTGTTTCTACACTAGATCTTCTCACAACACATTGTTTCTTGTGCTTCCAAAAGATCAAGTTACCTCCAATAAAAACACAATATCGAATAGTAGATCTTCTATCAGAAGAAGATTTTGCTCAGTCAGCATCTGAATAACAGACAACTTTAGCCTGTTTATTATGATCATATAACAATCTTTTTCCAGGAGATCCTTTAATGTATGTTAATATATGAATGATTGCATTCCAATGATCTGCACATGGGGAATTAAGAAATTGATTAACCACACTAACTGTAAAGGAAATGTCAGGACGAGTAACAGTAAGATAATTTAATTTTCCAATTAATCTTCTGTACTTCTCAGGATCTAAGAGAGGCTCCCCTTGATTAGGTAGGAGTTTGGTATTAGGATTCATTGGTGTGTCAATAGATTTTGAGTTCATCAACCTAGTTTCTTCTAAAATATCCAATGTATACTTTCTCTGAGATATAACAATACCATTATTAGATTGTGTTACCTCAATCCCCAAGAAATATCTAAGTTTGCCAAGATCTTTGGTCTGAAAGTGGTGACAAAGGTATTGCTTTATCTGGGAGATGCCATGGTGATCAACTCCTTTAAGAACATATACTATCAAATAGATACACCCAACACTTGAGTGACGGTAAAATACTGAATGATTTGTTTCGCTGTGAGTCATACCAAACTGTTGAATAATACTGCTAAATTTTCTAAACCAGGCCCTAGGAGACTGTTTTAGGCAATCTAAAGAGTTGTGAAGACAATATACCAATCCAGAAGACTCCCCTGAGCAACAAAGCTTGAAAGTTGCTCCATATAAATTTCTTCCTGCAAATCTCCATTAAGAAAAACATTTTTGAAGATACCAAGGTTGGTTGAAGAGTCATTGAAGGTAACTAAAGTAGGTATTTTAGTGGTTGACTTACCTGACACACGTAATAGGGTGGAACAAGTGAAAGTAAAGGTTGATACAATTGGGGAACCCAAAATCTTATCACAGACATGTGAATAATCGTCAAGAAGTCCATGTAATGCCAACAACATGAGAAATTTTTATCGTTGCCCTAATTCTTGGGAAGGAGTGGAGGCAGGAGGCAATACTTCATTAAAATCATGGAGAAGAGCATGGACTTTGCCCAAATATTCAACCATTGTACCCTCAAGACGTTTGAGAGCAACACTATTTAGGATATTTTGACAAACACCATACAAATGTTGAGCATAATTGGTTTACAACAATTTGGCCTGTTCCCAAAGCTCTGAACATGTCTCATAAGTATGAAATATTTGTTTTAGTGATAAATGAATAGTAGACTTGAGTACAATGTATAATTGATCATCAATTTTTAACTAACAAGAATGCTCATTTTCAACAATAGTAGCCACACTCTTATATGATGAACATAACCTTGACTTTTAAGCTGAAGTCTAATATTTGATCCCCAAGAATCATAATTAGTTCCATCTAATTTGTCAATGGATAGATGTGAGTCATACCAAACTGTTGAATAATACTGCTAAATTTTCTAAACCAGGCCCTAGGAGACTGTTTTAGGCAAAAGAGTTGTGAAGACGATATACCAATCCAGAAGACTCCCCTGAGCAACAAAGCTTGAAAGTTGCTCCATATAAATTTCTTCCTGCAAATCTCCATTAAGAAAAACATTTTTGAAGATACCAAGGTTGGTTGAAGAGTCATTGAAGGTAACTAAAGTAGGTATTTTAGTGGTTGACTTACCTGACACACGTAATAGGGTGGAACAAGTGAAAGTAAAGGTAGATACAATTGGGGAACCCAAAATCTTATCACAGACATGTGAATAATCGTCAAGAAGTCCATGTAATGCCAACAACATGAGAAATTTTTATTGTTGCCCTAATTCTTGGGAAGGAGTGGAGGCAGGAGGCAATACTTCATTAAAATCATGGAGAAGAGCATGGACTTTGCCCAAATATTCAACCATTGTACCCTCAAGACGTTTGAGAGCAACACTATTTAGGATATTTTGACAAACACCATACAAATGTTGAGCATAATCGGTTTACAACAATTTGGCCTGTTCCCAAAGCTCTGAACATGTCTCATAAGTATGAAATATTTGTTTTAGTGATAAATGAATAGTAGACTTGAGTACAATGTATAATTGATCATCAATTTTTAACTAACAAGAATGCTCATTTTCAACAATAGTAGCCACACTCTTATATGATGAACATAACCTTGACTTTTAAGCTGAAGTCTAATATTTGATCCCCAAGAATCATAATTAGTTCCATCTAATTTGTCAATGGATAGATGCACATTAACATAATTGGTATAGATGGACATATCAGATGTAGTAGTATCAGAAGAAGCCATAGATAATTATAAAGAGAGAATAATAATCATTCAGAGAGAAACAACCCTAAAACATTAAAAAGAAAAAAAAAATCTAACGAGCCTAGATTACGATGAAAGTTACAGATCCAAAAAGAAGAGAGAGTCGAGTTTGACGACGGTAATCAGCGCTAGAGAGGACATTGAATGTGCCACCATGCGCTACGGGAAGTGCTGGTGTTGATGAGGGCTTGGGCCGCGCATGCTGGTGCATCAGAGTTTCGTCATTAGATTTTTGTGGCATGGTGGTCGCCTGGTTGAGACAAGTACCATTGTGACAGCGAAGGGGTGGCAGGGGGCAAGAGTATTTAAAAAAAAAAAAGATGAAAAAAAAATATTTAGCACATGTGAACAATGGGTTGACTATGGAGACAAGGGTTAAACCTAGCTCTAGATACCATCTTAAAATAAGAGAGACATAAACGGAATCACTCATGTGTATCAAGCTCCTAGGGTTATCTATTTATAAACAAGAAAATAGAAGCTAAATCCCTAATGTGTATTAAACCCGTTACATCTAACAAAAACATTGTGTTCAAATTCTGCTTTTTGGTCTTCTTTCTTCACCAGTTGCAGCATGAGCCCTATCTTGTGCCTCAACTTTCCATGAAGTAACCAAGATGTCTCCCTTGTGTGCCCTGTTTTCATATAGTGATCACCATCCCCTATTTTTCTTTTGGGGTCCTCTTGTTGG